ATATGAGAAACTTCAATTAACCTTGCGTTTCATAGCAAAATTTACGATCATTGTGGACTCACGTAATAATCTTGATGAGAATAAAACCATTACATATGATGACGATTATGTGAAGCACTAGAATAACTATATCTGTAATCAGAAACCGAGCGTTGTGCATAATATAAGGTACCGAATTCCCTTTAGTGTCGTTTTTCACCACGAATTTTGGACCACCAATATCTTGACTCAGAATCCGGGGAGTGGAAACAGCATATTCATCGAATAACTCATTAGCACTTTCCTATTTACCAGTATGTGAGGGAAACCTCGTACGATAAAGCTAGGAATTTTTTGAGTCGAAAAAGAGAGGTTAGGTCGGTTTTGACATCAGTTCGGACAAATCATCCCTCTCACTTGCTAAAGTTAGGCCTGGACAAAAGAAGTATACATTTAGTTAGAGTGGAGGTCTGTCTGTACTGTATGGTGGAAAGGGAAAACTTACCAGCTCAACTGAACAATTTTTCCCGGAGTCTTTTTTGCCACAGAGGGTCAAAAACGCACCCTTTTTGAGCACATGTGAGTAGCAGATGAGCACATTTATTCGAATTTCTTGTGCAGTCGACTTCGTGTAAAGCGTTTGTTATTCGTCTGCTCTCTTTTGCAAGAATGTCAAGGCATGACTTACTGAAGTAGGCGAGGCTAGGGAAGGGGAAGTCGTTAGGAGCTTCATTTCTTGATGTTAGGCTTCAAACCCGCAGAAGTTGGCACCTGTGGGGGTCTTAGCCAGCTTAGCCAGCTATTTTTCACAGTTTTCAAGAAAACTCTTTTAGTAAGAGTGCTGGCTTATGGACAAAACTCTCGCCCTAGCGAGACCTGAACCCGTACCTGTTACCCGTACCTACCATGATGACTTCGTGTCGAGATCTCTGCGATATTCAGCTGTCTTCCAGAGCGCTTTTTAAGCTCATGCTGACCCATTGCAGGTTACGGTATTAGTAATATTAGGTACCGGATATCTTAATGTCGCTTTTCTGAGTTCAGGAAGTTTTGGGGCCGATTACTATGGAAAATCAATATCTCAGAAAGTCCTTTTTGCTCATTAATACTGCGAAATATGTTGCTTATTGTTTTCTATTGTTGGTTCACAATTTAACTTTCCCCAATTTTTATACTTTTTTTGAAAATTCCTGGGTCCAGTGTGCAAATTCGCATGTGTGTACCAAATGCTTCAAAATTCTTGCTGAGAGCTACAACTTCCGCCCACCAAACCAACATTGCATTTGTTGGAGGGAATACTACCATTTAAAATGCTCATCGGTTTTTCACAGTTTTCTCAAAAGACAGTGAAGTCTTTGAAGTGATGCCCGCAATCGTCGTCAAAAAGGTGGCCCTAGTTAAATCAGTCGAGACGGGGCTGCACCAGTCTTGTGCTGAAATGGTAGGACACCTTAGCAGTGACTGATCGATGATGCACAAACGCTTTAACGAAGTTGATTGCACAAGAAATTCTAATAAATGTGCTCATCTGCTACTCACGTGTGCTCAAAAAGGGTGCGTTTTTGACCCTATGTGGCAAAAAAGACTCCGGGAAAAATTGTCCAGTTGAGCTGGTAAGTTTTAACTTTTCCACCATACAGTGCAGACCCTACTCTAACTAACTGTATACTTCTTTTGTCCAGGCCTAACTTTTAGCAAGTGAGAGGGATGATTTGTCAGATGATGTCAAAACCGACCTACCTCTCTTTTTCGACTCAAAAAATTCCTAGCTTTAATCGTACGAGGTTTCCACTCATACTGGTAAATGGGAAAGTGCTAATGAGTCATTCGATGAATATGCTGTTTCACTCCCCGGATTCTGAATTAAAATATTGGTGGTCCGAAACTCGTGGTGAAAAAACGACACTAAGATATCCGGTACCTTATATTATGCACAACGCTCGGTTTCTGATTACAGATATAGTTATTCTAGTGCTTCACATAATCGTCATCATATGTAATGGTTTTATTCTCATCAAGATTATTACGTGAGTCCACAATGATCGTAAATTTTGCTATGAAACGCAAGGTTAATTGAAGTTTCTCATATTTAGGGTTAAAAACTGCGTAGGAGTTCCACTTATCGACTTCTGCTATTTCTAACGTCGACTGATTTTCTTCATGGAGTATTGAGTGAGCTTTACTCTTGATACCACAAAATCTAAAGTCAGCCTATATTTAAAGGCGCATTCCGCAGTTTCTTCATGTAGATAACCCTCCATTTAAGGATGTACTAGCTGGTCCGCAGTAGCAGAAGCAGTGCCCATTTCTACGGCTAAAAATGCATGACTGGGGCGCTGAGGGGCTTGCGACGAATGTCGGCAGTACACCACCATCACAATTGTGAATGCACTGGTGTCTGCATCTCCCACGTCCTCTGTACTCTCTTCTAGAACACTGCTTTGTCATTTTGACTTGCAGCGCCGTTCGGGCTATCCCCAGCAGGGTCGATCGCCTACCAATTGCATTGATTTCAGAAAATTTACGGCTCGTGACAGCCATTCTGCAGCTTTCATGGTAGTTCGTACAGTTGTCCAATCTTGTACCACTTGACACACTTTCGTTCAGAGAAAGACTTAGGGAGGAGACGAGTAGTGCATGTATATAAACAAGCCGAAATGACGAAAGTTGTGATATTCTTAGACGTTCCCCAAATTTCGTCAAGAAAAAAAATCCCCTGAAAATTTTCTTCTATGTCTCCCGAGAGTAGGATGCCCTTTCGCCACAAATATGGCCCCATCTTTTGACTACCATGCGAGAGAGGAGCCCTTTTGTTACTACTAGCATAATGAGTAATTGACCTCGTTGACTCGTCCATCGCCCAAAAGGAGCTTAGTTCCTGCGTCTTTAGCGATTTCGGCGCTATCGCAATATGTGGGGGCATTTACGTGGGAGTGCGTTAAAACCCGCGTAGACGACGTAATTTAGTAAAAACGAGACTGAGCTTTAGGCTGGGGAGGGGAGAGACTCCAGACCGCGTGGGCATTTCTCGTTCTCTCCGAACTTCCTGCATACCCCTCCCACTGGGCTTATTCCTGAAAATGCCCCCGTATCTTCCGATAGCGGTTTCTTCTACATTCATTCGTCTCCAGTGGTCCGATTTCCACCCCAGCTTGTATTTTCGCGTGCTGCGACCACATCAAGGTGAACGTAGAATGTGTCTTTAAGTGAGGCAAAAGACTCAAAATGTCTTGAGATTCATTTTTCTTCAGCTCTTCCTTACACCGTATACTTGACAGCGAATTGGAATCCGACGCATCTGGATATGGATCCGTACTACGTGCTGATTCTCGGCACTCCACTTGTTGTTCAGCTGAAGATCAATCTGACACTGACCATAGCCATAGCCCTTGAGCGAACGCTGGTAGGCTAGCACGTGTGTCGAATGCGTGATATGCGTCACCTACGAGGTTTTCTTTTCAGGCTCTCTTATTTCCTGTCACCTATCGCAAATTTCCTGCGTCCAAATATGCGATGTACTGCCTGTTAATCGGCTGCCTACTGGGAACTGTTGACCTCGTTGTGCATTTCGTTCTCACTCCGTTTCATAGATCACTCAATAGTTGGGAGCATGGTCGGATGCTTCATAGAAAGAGTTTCGGTACACATGGGAAATAGCAATATGGTAAGCCTGATTTTGGTAAGAGACCTCAAACTCGATCCATTCTCCGCTTCTTTCTAGGTGATGGGCTTTGTGGTGATCATACTGGTAACCTTCCTTATTGTCAAGCTTCATTTGATGCAAAGACGTTCAGAAATGAGGCGAATCAGTCAACCATCTGTCAAGGAGTCAAGATGTTCACCAGGAGCAACGAGTTACATGGGGTCTAATGGGTTAAGGTCAGGGTCAGCTGCCCCACCCCTACTACTCCTCAGCACTTTTGGAGCTTTGTGTGAATCCACCATAAGTGGCTGTTTGATGGGTCTCTCGACACTGTCAACGATCGGAGGATGTGGGGAAAGGATGGAGGGTTGTAGGAGAGCCCCGCGAGAGTAGCCCCTATTTCAAAATTTGTCGCAACGTGACTGTGTAGAGGGATGGAGCCAGACCAGTGACAGTAGGCGTGAGCCCTAGACAAGATTCCTGAGCAGACCCTGGGATGAGGGGGTGCAGTCAGCTCCGATGATATGGAGGAGTGCATCGGATTGTGAAGATCGTGACTGGGGATAGCCGCGAATAGCCGAACGTGAGGGACGCAGGGGCCGTTGAAAAAAAAAGCTGAAAGTGCCGTTACAAGGGTCCCGCATCCTCTTACCCAACTTGCCCAGTAGACGCAGTATAGAGTTTTGAGACGAAGGGGCGGGGCTAGAGAATGGGGGGGGAGCGTCAAGTAGTAGCGGCTAACGAAATTCAATCGAGCTATGGCACCAAGTCGACCGTTCGTTCGCACTGTTCGAATTGGGGTCGCATTTGTGATTTAGGATAGGGTGGACACATTTGGAGGTGCAAGGTTATCATAGTGGGAACGGAGGTTGACGAAGGTTGTTAAAGGGGGATGTATTTGACGGGTTTTTTGACGAATTTTGTGAAAGTTCTACAGAATTAGTGAGAATCGGGCCCACCCGACGGCCTTTTTGGAAGAAATGTAGGCGGAGCTGGGCTGTGTCCACTGGTCCCAGAATGAAATAGTAAAGAAACAGCCATGATGGTGGGGTGGTGGTCAGGAAAGCGCGAAGGACGATCGCATCCGGTGAGCCTTATAAGAATGGTTGTGGTGGTGAGGAGTGGCATTGAGATGCCTTGAAGGATTGCCTTAAATTTTTTCAAAAAGTGCGCACGTGATGGTGACCCTGCTGGCACCCTTGACCATGGCGACGAGGTACACAGGGGGTCTCGGGGACGTGCCCACTAAATTTTTTCTAACAAATTCTCGACAACGGGCGGATTCGCTATTATGTGGTCGGGGACCCAAACTTGAAAAACGCTTTTCACAGGACTATGAATTCCTTCAGATCAGCTGATATCGGATTGAGCTGTGTAATAAGACTGCGCTGAATTGTGGAATGGTTTGTCCCTCACAAATGACTGCATGTCGTTAACGTGGCGCGCGCAAAACGAAGTTGTTCAGCGCTTTTAATGGCTCACTTCTTATCGATTGCATTTTCAGGCCAATCGCACTTCTGCCGGAATTCTCCTGACTTCGCTGATGTTCGTTACAATTCCAAGTGTTGGTGTCGGTTTCGTGGAAATGCTCGGTTACTCCATATTCCGGGCCGTTGGCCCATTCTACTCTGTTGGTCTGCTTTGTGCAGGTGCAGGGGACTAATGCTGAATTTTAAGTAGTTTAGCAGGTCATAAACTCCAACTGGGTCAGGCGTGACCCCGGGACATTCGAAAGTTTCCCTATCCTTCCTCCTTATGAAGTCTCAAAGCAGTCCCCATACCATTACACGTGAAGGGGCCACCTACAACAAGTGGTACGAGGCTGTGAATGGATACTGTTGCTGGTTCGATCTCCCGTGGCGACTAAACTTTGCATTTCAGGTTGGCGTTTGCTAGTTCTCGTATGGCGCTAGATGTCAAAAGCAGATGTTATACCCATAATCAGGACCATGTTGAGGCCAACAAGTAACCACCAACTTTGAATGCAAAATTTTGACGCCACTAGAGATCGAACCATTGACAGAATTCTGTACTTTTTTGATACTGCCATAACCGCTTAGCGAATACGAAACATACATAGTTTTATGGTTCAGGTGTCCCTGCGCATGCAGGAAACCTTTCTGAAAAAGCAAAGTCTTCACTGAAGGACCCCCCCCCCTTGTAAAAAACGGCAAGTGCTCCAATTTCGACCCCTTCACACATGTTTCAAAGCTTGCAAGAAAAAGTAGTATGAGATTCGCCCTTCTCCCCTACCCCGTTCCACCCCGTTCCAACATTAACCTCCCATAGTCGCTGGTAGTGAGGCACACGACAGGGGCGGGGTACACGACAGGCTCGGCAAGAAGGCAGAGTCAGCGGACGAGTCGCAGCACGTGCTGTGCTATGTAGGAGGAACAATGGTGCATTTTATTTAACTTGACGCAAGAACTACAAGCGCGGCGACTCGTCCTCTGATTCTGCCTTCTTGCCGCGCGAGAGACCCCTTTTTGAGCACTCCTGGTAGTGCGCCAAAAAAGACTTACCCCGCTTCTAGCTCCACCCCCAAATCTAAGGGGATTGTTAAGTAGGGGATATTAATAAATGTAACTGCAGAAACAGCAAAGTTTTCGAACATCAACAAGATTCCTCCAGATCTCGGCTAAATCTCTTGAAAAGACCCTACTCCGCTGAATACGATCGTCCCTCCCAAATTGACGAATATGGCCCCTCATTTGATTCGTCCAGAGTGACCACAACTCTTGCGCAGCCCTCTCCATCCGAACGCCTTTTGACTTGTCTTTTATCAAATATCGATTTCAGCAAATCATTAAACTTTTCAGGTGCCTGCAACAGCATTGTGTACGTGGTTCTCAATCGAGATATGCGAAATTTGGCGAAACAATGTCTCAACGGCAAAAGTACAAATCCAATCAGTTCACCAGCACACACCAGAATTACGACCGTAAGCGCAATTCATGCTAAGGAATCTCGTCGATTCGCATAGAATATTCGCTCGGGAGTCTCCCTATCCTTTGTTTCTCACCTCTGAATCAGTCCTGATTGCGAACAAGGACCTACTGGCCATGTCTAAGAGTTGAGGTAGGGTTGTCCACAGACGTTAATTGCGGACTGCACAAGCTTGATAGTTGTCGCAGTGGTCAGCTGATTCCTCGTATTTTCTAGATTCCCTCGTATTACTCGCCTTTTCAACTGCTATAAATATATAGAAAATACAGCGGAAAATGCGAGTAATACGAGGAAATCGAAAAAATACAGAAGAATCAGTTGACCGATGCAACAACTATCAAGTTTGTGTTGCCCGCAATCAACGTCTGTGAACACGCCCACCCCAAATCCCCGATATGGACTGTACCTTTTACTAAATGCCTATTACATACAGTGATTCACTTCTTTTCTTTCACTACCAGCTCACGGAGATAAGCCGTTTAGACAGGGAGAGCACCCGAAGTAATCGTAAATTATGATGTTCCGCCCGCAGTCACAAACAATGCGCGTCGCATCGATGCACTGTTTGGAGTAGCAATCCGACTGGTTTCGCGAACAATTAGGCTTGCTCTCCGAGGTAGCAATCCAAAAGAAGGGTCACAACGCTCAGCCTCGCCGCTTGCGCACCAATCTGACATGCGTGCCTCCTGCACTTCCTACATGAACGGCGCTTAGTATAGTTGGCGAGTTTGCTCGACGCTTCTCTCCTCGTTGAGAGAGCGCAGAGAAAACGAGAAGTGGGAGGCGAGCACACACTTCAGCGCGTCAATGCGTCGCGCATTGTACTTGAAGCAGAACACATTCACGCTTACTTCGGGTGCTCCCCTGTCCAAACGGCTTCAGTCGAGCTTAGGTGACATTTGATAACATCGAGAGCGTCAATAAGTGTGCATGCCACGCATGTTAATGATTATGTACATAGCCAAGTATGTCTAAAACAAAAGGCATGGATGAGCCACAAAAAATGCGGACGCCTAATTGTAAAGAGTCCTTTTTGTGTTGTATATTTACAATAAACGTCTTCCAATGGTTTGAGTTGTCACTTTGTACAAAACAATGTACATAAACAATAAAGATTGGTGTTCTGGTGCTTTCATAACATAAACACTTAGTTAGGACGGTCCCTATTTTGTCCATGAATAGAAGCATTCCCTGCTCCACCACCTTCACCGTTTTCATACAAGGCGTCTTATACCATCACTGTTGAGCTCAAGAAGGCCTACCGTAGTCGCTCCAGCCTGATGCTGCCACACAAGGCAAGAGATCGTCGCAAAAATTGCGCGGTTAGGGCGCTGTTCCTTACGGGCCTGCAACCATCGACCCAATTTCCAACGCTTCCCACCCACCGCGAGAGGTGGTGAGATCAGCGTGCTCTCTCAAACGACGTGCTCTCTCGCGTATTTTGTCTTCTTTGACCGCCCTTTCTCGCCATCGTACCACATCCGACCCTGTTGAAGGTTAAGGCCTTAATTTCAGCGTTCCAAAGATTTCTCTTGCTTTCCTTCCCACTTTCAGGTCGTTCCGCAGCTAAGCTATCACTACAGAGCGCTGATAGCACTAGTCAATCCCAGAGTTTGCCTTTAAGGGCGCCGGACAACAGGCTGATACAAGAAGGACGTCGGCTGCAGACGCTTCATGTCCCTTTGCAAGGCCCCGGCCGATTTCCAAACGGGAATGTGGGAATGTCCTCAAGGGGTCTATCCTATAGAGCGAAAGGTATCGTTCACGTGACTTTTACCAAGGCTTTACTTTCAACCAAATGGAAGGATGTAGAAAATATTGGATCGTGTGAAGATAGAGGAAGCCTACGAGCTGGCTGAGAGGCGGGTAAGGGTCCCAGGCATCAATGCAAGAGCACCGTCACTGGTGAAAAGGCGAAGAATAGCAGTCTGAAGAGCCTGGAGCCTAACGAAGCAATAGCCTTTTGCTAGGCCTGACAGGGGCAATTCAGCTCACTCCCGATTTGTGGAGCCGCGTTTGGAAACCTTAAAGCAGTCGTTTCTCTTATATGTGCGTTCACAGGTAGAAAATTATGTACTTAATAGGTATCACGCATTAATTTGTGAGGAGGGTCTGAAGTAGATAACCCAAATGCTAAAAATATTGATCGGATCGCATCTGACGGCAAGCACCTTGATGTATCTTGATGCATTTGTTCTACCTAGAAATGTTCTTCCTGCGAGCATAATATTCCACACAAAAGGGATTGGTAGCTAATGTCAATCCTCTCCTTCCCTCGATCGTTCTGTGAGTTGAACTTTTCCCAGAAAGAAAATAACTCCTTAAAAGGAAATAACACTTTGTTGGTGAATAGTGTGACGATTGCTTACGTGAGATGTACTCAACACATCGTATGAAGAACTGATATTTCTCCATTCTTCTTACCTCCGGTCCATCAGAAATTTTGCCACATTACGGGAGGGGCTAGACTACAACTAAGCGAGCTCAAAAGCAGCCTCCTATAGAAGCTTTGAAGTTCTTCTCACTTCAGACTTTCCTTCAGATTTTCTCACTGCGGACGGCAGAGAAAAAGAATCTTTTTGAGCCTTTTTAGAATTTGGAGCAGGCTCGTAGGTTGCAACGCATGCAACAGTTTTTGCCGATCGAATCATATTTAGAGGTGAGGTGCAAAACCATTTTTACCCCATTGATCACCGGTAAATATTTAGATGTCTCACCACAACTTGGA